TATTTATATATATTTATAATAAACTTTTATCTTTAATACGATAAGGAGTGCAATATGATTCACGCGATGATGATTCACTATCACGCAGAGAAACCACTTGTTCGATTATCTGTCGCCTCTGTAGCTTGTTCACGAACGTTATTTCACAAAATCGTATTTGTCTTTCTTTTTTTTTTTTTTTATTGAGCATTCAATATATGAATAACATATTTCAATCACAATCACACGAGAAAATGTGTCCTACTCGCTAAACATTTCAATCATTTAATTCGGTTCTGCTCGATAAAGTGTAAGCTCGATATTTTGATGCGTGATTTCGGATTTTCGAGTTTCTTTTTTTTTTTGAGCAACATCAGGTGTTCCTATATATACATACATTTTATCCGATTACAGTAAATTCTCTACAAGAGTCAGTAAGTTTGGATTCTGCAAGTGACAGTATAGATGGTCCTACGCCTCGGTCTGCGTCATTGCTGCGCCCATGTTATCTCGCTCGCAGTCAGTCAAGCGTGTAACGCTACACCAGTCGGTTTCCTTTTCCTTTACGAGATTACACGGCTCGACAAATCATAATAGAAAAATATAATTTCTTTAATTTTACTTTTTTTCAGCTGAAATTTTTTTTAACATGGTGGTGAGATTTTTCTGATGAAAATGGTATTAAACACGATATAATTTGAACAACATTTACTTATTAACACGTTCACTGTCACGCCAGATTTACTTTTAAAATATATTTTAAGCATAGTATTATAGTATTATGCTTTATAATTTTTTTTTTCAATTGAAAATAATGTCTAGCTAGCTATGACGTTCAAAATTTTTAAACATTTATTTTATTTTAATTATTCTAAACATTTCAGGCACTCCAGTCACTGATGACCACCATGGCCATATCGAGGAAACAATCTAACGTTAAAACTTATTGAGTGATTAATTTAATTTCATAATATATCGCTTTAGCGAGCCACCGTTTGGTTGCCAATTGTTTATCACATAGAGTCGGCCTAACTCTACGTAAAAAAAAAATGTAGGGTCGATTCCACAAGTGTCAGTAAAATGTAGGGTCGATAGCAGCAGAAAAGCTGCTAAACAATTAGAATTAAATGTAACGATAGAAATTATTGCAACAATGCGTAATGCAATTGAAAAATCGCAGAAAAGTCTGATACAAATGTTTGAAAAGTAAAATATATAAGATGAGATACAGTATCTTACCACGTAATGTAACTTTTTATTGTGTAACACATTAAAAACACTGTTTGGGAAAAATTTGTCACAGAATTGCATTTCTTATTTAATCTTCCTTTACTGCTACTTCTTGTGAAATTTTATGTCAGAAAATTGAAGAAATTCTTCTTTGTGTTTCGTAGGCAATTGATTGCTAATTTGCTATTGACAGATCGATGTTAAAATTTGATGTTAAATGGAACTTTCATATCTACCATAGAATCTGAATAATTTTTCAAGGTATTTTATTAAGAAACGCGCACATAGTGTTCAATTTTCTATCTTAGAATTAACTAACTTTATCTTACGAACTACTTAAAGTTCAAACTTTCAACTGTGTGTGAGAATCAGAGTGTCGACGGGTACGCGTAGTTCTTAGCTTGGTATCCTTTTGCAAAAGTGAGAATTTTCTTTGGAAAAGGATACCAATTACCAGGTCCCACCACGAGGAGGTGACTACGCAAGGGACCCGACAAAAACACATGCCCTACTGGCAGCTCTCTATCTTCAGAGATACGCGATTCTCATTCGTAGCAAAGGAGATAAGACACTTTATCAAAAATTCGTGTTCTTAACATAAATTTTTAAGGAGTGTCTTATATTTTATTTGAAATTGCAACGCTAATCATTTTGTCATAGTTAATTTAAAGATTGGAAAAATTCAATGCTCTCCTTTGATAGGGTTTCAAAAAATTATAAATCGCGGTCAGATTGAATTCAGAGCGCAACGAGAAATTCGCTATCATTCTAAAGAACCAGCGAGCATACACGACGAATTTACTCGCGAGTATCGCGCGCTACTCGCGAGTGATTAAGTCGCGAATAAACTCGCAGGAACTGAGTGATCGAGAATTTAATGTTCTATGTTTCGAATCGACGATAGCAAAATGTAGAAAGCATTTTTAGTAATTAGCTACGAATGAGAAACGCGTATCACTGTAAGAGAGCGCGCACATTGTACTCGATACAATTTTTCTATCTTATAGTTACTTATTTTATTTTATGGACTACTTAAAAGTAAAACGCACGCATCCCACGACGTCCATCGGCGGATGAATAGAATTATTTTTTATTTTCTTAGGCTAATTTATTTTACCTTATCAACTACAATCCTTAAAATTAAAACTCACACACACGGTTCTTAACTTAGAACTTCGCTTACTTGCTAGTTTAATTTTGGAAAAGGAGAATTTTTAAGAAATGACGCGAATTGCCTAAGATTCACCACTAACAAGATTCGTCATTACGTCAAGAATCCTATTGATTTACTTGGATATTCCATAATTTCTTACTGAATATGTATTCGACAAAGGACGTCGAGGATTGGTATAGTTCCTGATTTTCTAATTGAACTAAAATTCGAAATAGTTGGTGGAAACTGTAGAAGCTTTATTATAAATTGGAATAGATCGATGGGCTATTGTGGAATAATAATTAGCAGTGACAATTGTTTGACACAGTTACCTATGGGTTACCACAGAATGTTCATTAAGCAAATCTCTCGCATCAATTATATATTTTCGTTTTGTAATTTTTCTAGCTAAAGGAATACTTGTAACTTCTGAAAATTAGTAAAAATTAAGAAATTAGAAATTTTGTAACTTCTGAAAATCAGTAAATTGGGTTATTCATTGCAAATAAATAAATTACGAGTGTATATTCTGGAAGAAAGTGGTAAAATTTCTGAACTGGAAATAATACATAATGAATATAAAAAGAAAAGAAAAAGGAAATATGCGACTCACCATTCACAGAACTCACAGCTGACCACTGCAACATGGACTTGGTTGCATCTCATCTTCCTCTCAGATCCATGGAGTCTGAAATTCCCTCAGTGAACCATTTGCATCCTCTAAGCCTTGAATTTTAGTTCCATCAGCTAGATTTGAGTCCTCCAAGCCTCGAAATTTGGTTCCACCAGTGGTCCAATGCCAGATTGAGTGACTCAAAGTCAGATTTAAAGATCCACAGCCAGATTGAGAGATCCACAGCCAGATTGAGAGATCCACAGCCAGATTGAGAGATCCACAGCCAGATTGAGAGATCCACAGCCAGATTGAGAGATCCACAGCCAGATTGAGAGATCCACAGCCAGATTGAGAGATCCACAGCCAGATTGAGAGATCCACAGCCAGATTTAAAGACCCAAAAAGCCAGATTGAAGGACCCAATGCCAGATTGAAGGACCCAATGCCAGATTGAAGGACCCAATGCCAGATTGAAGGACCCAATGCCAGATTGAAGGACCCAATGCCAGATTGAAGGACCCAATGCCAGATTGAAGGACCCAATGCCAGATTGAAGGACCCAATGCCAGATTGAGAGACCAAAAAGCCAAACTGAAGGACCCACCAGACTTAGGAAGCTGTGGAAGTGTCGCGCGAAATTGTGTACGGATCGCGATTTCTTT